CTAGCTAAAAAGAGCCAACCAGGTACAAAGTTAGTGCTTGAAAAATCTGTAACAACTTTATAGCTGGTTTCTATCTAGCTTTAATCTGAAGGTGTGGCAGGGCCCTAGCACAGGACAGAGTATACAATTGTAGCAGAATGAATATGGGCCACCAGCAAGGCCAGATGTGCTCCAGCACAGTGACCCTAACTGATGCTGCCTCTGGAATTACTGCTATTTGCTTTATGTGTAGCTCAGTTTCCTTATCTCTGCATTCAAATTTACCACGCTTGGGAAGAGATTTGAGATCTGTGGGTGAAAGTTGCTATACAAGAACAAAGCATGAATGAATGAATGAATGAAATGTGGAGTTTTCTTCACTGGAAGGTTTTCAAGAAGAGGCTGGCTAGGACTGTCTTGGCGATGGTTTAGAAATGATAAATCCTGCCTCTGTTCAAGGGCTAGACTAGAAGACCTATAATGTCCCTTCAAACCCTGTGATTCAGACAACAGACAGACTAGATCAGGGGTGTCAAAGATATGACCCATGGACCAGGTCCAGGCCATGGGCTGTGGGCAGTGCACATGCCATGTCAGCCCAAGAGCTGTATGCCCAGCAAGTGCATGGGTTGGACCCAGAACTAGGCATGGTACAGGGGGTCCAGGGCATAGGCTGCATGTGGCATCCCAGACCAACCCCTTGTGCTGCCTGCAGTTCTGGATCCAACCCGCATGCCGTGGGGAATGTGGTGCCCATGCTGGCCCTGAGCTCTGGTGTGTGCTGCCTGTGGCATGTGGGCTGGATCCGGTGCCACAGACACTCCAGAGTCTCAGTCTAGCCTGCAAACCAGCTCCGGGACACTCATCTAGCCCCTGGAGCCAGACGAATTTGCCATCTCTGGACTAGACTACAGAAATGAAACAGTATAAATCTGAACTGAGGAAGTGCCAGGTCTACAGCCCTGGAGATGGGGCTACAGAAAAGGTGCAACATAAGCCATGGTTCCACATACCCTCCTCCTATCTCACAATGTGCTTCTTTACCAAACGGAGCACTGCGAGAGGGGAGAAAGATCTTTAGTATCCGTGGTCTCCCTGCTGAGGCTACAGGGAGCTCAGCTGTGGAGGTGGTAGCAGTCGACACCAAGAAGGAGACCACCATTGTTTCACACCACAGGTTACTGAGCAGCTGGTAGAGGGTAACAGCTTTTAGCCAAGTTTATTATTTAGCTAATGAAAATAAAAATAAGGCCACCCAAAATAATGGGTGGTCTAAAACCACTGTCAGCCATTCACAATCCCCCTTTCTTCCAACCCTTCATATAAAAAGGTTACAACTCAAGGGCGCCACTATAACTCTTGTGATAATCTTTCTCTCACTTAGCAGATGGAGTCATTTACAGATCCTTAGGTTTAAATGAATGGCTTGCACTGAAAAGGCCAGAGTCTACGCGACTGGCAGGTTTTGCAGTGTTGATAGCCTGGAAAATGCTTAGCAGGGGAAGAAGTTGGCAGTGAGAGTTCATGGACGTGGTGCCTGTGCCCTCTGCCAGGGAAATAACAAGGCTGAAATCCTGGAGCTAGATAGGGCCAAACTGTTCACAGCAAACAATTTAATTGATGAATGTTCTGAATTGCCCAGAGCAGGCTTAGACTTTGACTCATCTGTTAGGTTGTTTGAAATCAATTGGCAAAATGTTCATACAAACATATGTCAGTCTTGGGGTTACTCCCCCCCTGACACCTGCCAAAATTGCCATCTTAGACATTCACTATGCAGAATTCACCTGTCTATGCCATGCAACTGGTTAGCAAGGTCACGTGCTATTGTTTTGGGTCCTTACGCCATTAAGTCCTTTGAGGCGGCTGCACTAATGCTAACTAGTATACAAATACTTATTTGCACAAATATGTGCAGTTCTTTCCCTTTCTGCCAACAGTCTTGTGACTGCAAACTCACTTGTGCATTTGCCCATTGGAAGTCAATAAAACAGAGTGCAAGTGCCATAAAAAACAGGTGGGAGGTTATTGGAAGGAAGATCTGGATTTGCAGCATTTGACCCGGCTTTGCTTATAGCCAACACTGAAGAGGCTGGACAAGGAGAAAGTGGAAGACAGTGAGACAAGATGGCTATTAATCATAATTAGACACTCTGCAGTGAGCAAAAGCCCTCTTGCTTGCTGTGTCCAAAGAGCCTGATTTGAAATTACTGAGCATCACCACTATCCAGACAAACTTATATTCTCTTGTTTTGGGGCAGCCCCAAGTTCTTATCCTTTGCTGGCTGCAGGTCCCAGTTTGCACCCTGGATAGCCCAACATTTGATGTAAAGCCTCAATAGGGAGTCTCTGATATACGGGTAAGTATTCTCAAGAGGCAAGGCTTACAGCCCCAGATAAGAGACCTGCTGTTTGTCCTTCTGGTCCCAAGGCTGTTGCATTAACACTGATGTTTGTAAATCATTGTCGGGCTCTGGGTCTGTGTCCAGCAAGCCCCAAACTGCACCTGCCAGTCAGTCCTGCCTCATGCTTTGTTTGTGACTTGGGGTAGCACTTGTGTTGCTTGCACACACAACCTCCACTGGCTCAGTGATGGTTTTGATCCTAGGGGAGATCCTAGGCATTTTCAAAGCCCAGAAGCACTGCCATGAAGCACGCACAGTCATCTTGCCCCTGCTTGGCACACGCTAAATCCCAGAGGTAAAGCAATGTATACCCCTGAGCGTGGTGTGGACCCCATGAGCACCCTCGAGGCAGAGACAGTAGGTGCATGCTCAGGGTGCTCTAAAGTGGCTACAGTGCCTCAACCTGGGGTGCATAGGGCAGACACGGGGGGAGGAAAGAGGGGTTTCTCAGCAGCATGCTAGGCAGAGAGGCAGCATAGCCCCTATATCACTCAGATGCTTCTGCAAATTTTACCCCAGTGCAGGGTTTTGCCCATCTCTCCCTGTCTGCCTTCCATCTGGCCTCCACACCTGCTTGTGCGCTTCGAGACTGCTATTTGTCAGTCTCCTCCTGACCCGTGGACCGCCGTCTGTATTGCCTGTCTCAAAGGCTGATAAATAAATACCTCTCACCAGCACTAAATCTCTTTTAAAAAAAGGAGAGAGGGAAAAAGCGGAGGCATGATAGTCAGGGAAATAAAGTAGTTGTCATAAACCTGATTGCACTGGAAATGGGGGCTCTGAGCAAAGTTTATCCCTGATGTTGTTATTCTTTTCAGTCTCAGCACCATGCTGAAGAGAAGTTTAAGCTCACTTTTTAAGACCCATTTTACTCAAATTCACCTGTCTCCCCCAGAAATAACAGAAATAATCTTTTTTATCCAGCTGGGCTTTTTCCTACAGAAATTTGTTTCCATTAACCTGTTCCCTTTTGTTCTCTTAAAAAGCACATTTTGAATAATAACAGGGCAAAAAAAAAACAACCCAAGTTGCATGGTACCGAAAAAAAGTGCTTGACTGCACCTCTTTATACAAAAATTCTCTCTCTCGATGGATGGGAGAAAACTCTTTTAATGGGATCGAGGTGAATATGAGAAAGAAAAATTCCTGGAGCTCTACGTAGCTAGTCATTTCAGCAGCAAACACATGGCAAACTCTAGTCTTAGAAAACTAAATTACACTGGCGATGTGAACCTAATGTTCTCTTTCTGCTTTGTAAAACACAATTCTGTGCAAGCCGGGCTGAAAGTCGATGCTCTATTTCTGCTTTGGGAGAAATAAAAGGAAGAAAGCCTCTCTGCATTCCTTAACATTCAATAGGAGAATGCAAATTCATTGTAGACAAGAAACCCACCCAGTTCTCTCTTCCAAAGCTGTGTTTTAGAGGGAAGGGTCATCATTCAGGAGTCAAGAGATGCCCATGATTACTGCATAGCCAAGCGGGTCGTATATCGTGTTGAGGGAGGGGAGGAGACAGGAATTTTTCAAGAATTCAGCTTGATTCAACCATTTTCAAGCTACTCCCTGTTCAGCAAATAAGGATACTTGGCTACTAATTCACATGCGTACTGTAGGGTAGACACAGCTACCTACCTGCAAATCTGAGCGAGTATTTTGGAAGGCTGGATACCTTAATATATAATCCGAACACTGCCAGTTTTTCACTTGTGATTTTTCTTTACATGTAACAAAACACCAAAGAGGTTTAGAAATAACAAAGGCAGCATTTGCCAAATGTTGTATTTGTTTACTTCTGTTCAACGAGCTGCTCCTCGCAGCAGGGTCTGCAAAGCGCTGCTCCCTCTCTGAATTCACTACAGACAATAACACTTTGCAGCTCGGGTTTTTTCTCCTAACTCGCTTAAAGACGTGATCCATTTGCAAAGTGCAGATCTGGTTCTGAGCTGGGGTTCTGAATACATTCTGAATTTGCAGGATGTCTGGATTGGGCAGCGCGGGCCCATCTCTAATCATTTACGGACACGATTCTCGAGGTAAACCCAGATGCAGCCAGCGCGACGACAGGGTGGTGTGGCCCAGGGCACGCTGCTGGGACTGCCTTGTGTAACACTTCTTACGACTGAAGACCAGGTCGGGCTACAAAATGCTCCCCTGGTTGTACAAGTTCTCAAGACACGTGGCCAAGTACACTGACTGCCACGTGGGAGATTTTTGCTATGGTGTATCCTACTCCCAGCGCACTCCAACAAGAGGGCAGAGCCAACTGTTTCACCCATGCATTGCTTCTTCATGGAGGTGAACGAGGTACACAGTTGGACTGCACCCTGAACAGGGGCCTTTTCAGAATGATACCAGGCTGTGTGAGTTTTCAGAAAGCAATGGGAGAGACCCTTTTCTGGATCACTGCCCTTATCCATGCCATGGTATTCACTGGCCCAGAACTTTTTTGGGAATCCAAAGCTGTGAGATCACCCTCGCACATTGTTTCCACGTACCCAGACGCCACCAATGACGGGTGTGACCCACCTGTGCAGTCCTCCCCCACTGCCCGGTCTTCCCCAGCCCTTCCACCCCTACCTGTGCACTACAGGTCTGACTGAAAAGGTCACCTCTTACCTTCCTGCCTGTGCTTTGCTGCTGGTTCCTGACATCAGAAAGCTGCAGTCCAAAGGATTTTTCTTCAACTAAAGTCATGAAGGTTGTCTACTCAGTCTTTTTTTTTTGCTGACAGGCACAGTGGGTGCAACATTAGGGATCCTTGAGGATGGGTCACCAAGCCCAGCGCTTCAACTGCAAGGAAAAATATAAAGAGGGAAATACATCAGAGGTGTAAAAAAAAGAAAAGAAAAGAAAAAGAAGTTGGTGAAAACAATGGATCAATCACCAGAGAGAGAGAATATAATGGATCAGAGACAATGGGAAAGACATCAAACATGAACCAAAATAGGACAAAAGGGACTCATATCAGCTATAAGATCAGCTGTTGGAGGTGGTAAATCAACAGGAAAAACAAACCAGCCATTGTAGAGGAGGAAGTACAAAGGAGATATCAGAAATGAGGGAGCAGAGGGGGGACGTGGAATAGAGGTAAAAACAATGGGAGAAATGCAGAATAGCGACTGAAGGAGATGGGCTGGCTTGGACAAGCACGGTGCGTCTGGGGCTCACAGAGATCATCAGTGACCTGACGAAGGACTAGTCAATGGACTAATAGTAACTGTTAAATTAGATATAGGGGCACAGGTCAATGTACACTGGAGCGGTGGGTCCTCAGTACGTCTGAAAACCAGTCTTGTGCAGATTTTAAACAGTCTTAAAATACATACACTGGCCTCTTGTGCCAGCCCTGCAGGCCCAGAAACAGGCACAAGAAGCAAGGGGGGGCTCCCACTTCTATACAGAAAATCATAGGGGCTAGGGTCACAAGCCAACAGGCCAAAGGGGGGGAACAGGTCAAAGGCAAGCAAATATCAACACGGCGCTAACAAACACTCAGCACCTTAATTTCCCCCCCACACACAGAGTGTCCCCAAGCAAATCTTTAGTCCCTAGAGCGCTCAAACAGCAGCTGGCAGCTGCCCCCAAGTCTGATCCCAGCTCCGTCAGCCCACAGCCCTGGTTGACTGAGCCAGTGAGACTCCAGCTCCAGTGTGCACTCCTCCGTGCAGGACTGACCCGGCTCTACCCACACACTGCTCTCTCTTACCCCAGTCTCAACACCCCTGGCGGTTTCTGGGAGTTGCAGTCCAAACGAACAGTCAGCCCAACCCTGCAGACTGCCCCCTGGTTCATCCTGCTGCTACACACATTATATTCACATTATGTTACCCACCCCCCTTTTAACTGCATGCGCCCCCACATCCAACTAAAGTTACACCTTATAGTCCCTAAGCAACCTGGGAGCTCTCCGCACTCACTGTTGTCAACATCTGGATTCAGGGGTGTGGACCCTCACTGGCACTGGTAGGTTTTGGGTATCCCCTGTTGTACCTAACCTTGATCTTATCCCAGATGCTCATTCATCCTCATTATCATTTCCATGAGCCCGCAGATCCCACCCTATGTTTCTTGGTCCAGAAGCATCCTCTGGCTGCGCTCTATGGGGGGCTGTATTAGTAAAGGTTCTGTTGTGAGACCTCTGCCAACATTTTGGCTGCTGACGAGCATGTCTCCCTAGCGCCTTTGTCAGGCCAGGGTCTCTGTCCTGCGAACACACATAGGATTTCTTCTGATCATAGCACACTACAGATGTTTGTCCACCAGGCCTGCTTGCCAGCTCATATAACACCTCAGGGCACCTATACATGTGACGGAGCTCTGCTCCGACGTGCTAATTGTGTCCAAGCAGGTTCAATTAATCAAGTCTGCTGCAGCGTGCTAATTAGCACACTCCAGCAGCCTCCACATCACCTGTATTCAGTGCCCCCGTGTTTCAAAATGGTGGTGGGGGCGCTTTAACTAAAGCTCGTTGAACATGCTTTAGTTACAGTGCCCCTACCACCATTTTGAAGAGCAGGATACTGAATACACATGACACTGTGGGCACTGCAATTAGAGCAGCTCTCAGAGCTGGTCTAATCAAAGTGCCCCACGCCTCCACCCCACAGCACGTGTATAGACACTCTCAGGCAACTTCCTAATGACTGTATAAGGGCCGCTGAACTCCTTACATAGCTTTTGGCACTGACCCTGCCCTCCTAGTTTGGTTCTGTACCCACGCCAACTCTCCCATTTCATACACCAGTGACCCTGAGGTCATAGTAGTTTTTTTTTCCTTTGTGTGGCTCCAGCCTGATGTCTCTTAACAGCTTGGCTAAATGAACTAGATATCCTCCATCTTTGTAACATATTCAGATGGATTGTTAAATTCTTCTGATATAGTTACTCCAGAAACAACATCAACAGGCAGGCAAATCTCCCATCCAACCCCTCCCCATATATGCTATATATCCTGTAGATGACTGCACACTGCTCCAGTAGGCCATCATGACATAAGGGAGTATCTCATTCCACTCCATCTGATTGTCTTTCATCAGGGAGGACAGCAAGTCAACCAGAGTATGCTTGAATCTTTCCACTAATCCATCAAATTGGGGGTGATACCATGTGGTGCAGTTTTGTTGATTTCCAGAAGGTCACACATATGTTGAAATAGTTGAGATTTAAAATTCCTCCCCTGGTCAGTGTGTAGGGATCATTGTACATGATGGTAACACACAAATCTCTCAACAAACACTTTTGCCACAGTCTGAGCTTCCTGATCAGGGCAAGAGTATGCCTCTGCCCACTTGGAAAACTAGTCAGCCACTACTAAAACATACTTGTTTCTATGTGGTGTAATGGGTAGGGGACCCAGGATATGCATTGCTATCCATTCCAGGGGTTGGCCAGCCTGGATGAAGACCATGGGGACCCTGGGACTTCTCTTCAGTCTTTTTTGGGCACCACACACCTCACATGACCTGCACCAGTCCTCAGTAGATTTTATCCAACCCAACCAGAAATACCAAGACCGGACCTTGTGAGAGATCTCCATGCCCAAATGATCCCCCAGTACTGGAATCATATAGTGATTGCAAAATTGTCGGTACTTCCTTCCCTAGTACCACTGTTTGAATAAGCTTGGCTCTTTGCACAGATTATGGAAGTTTTCACACCAATACTCCTTGCCCAATGCTTAGCTCAGGCCATACTACCTGATACCCCTTCAGGCACAGATGACATTGCCCTTCTTCAGGGAACTCCTCACTATCGATTTTCTTCTACTTTATTAGTTTTGCAATGTCAGCATCTTCCTGTTGTCTTTACACTGATCTGCCAAGCTTCTGGCTTCCCCTGTATTCGGGGTTGGTTCACCCCTGGCTGTCTCTATTGCTGACAGTGGCTGTACGCCCACTGCTTCAGCTTTATGTTCAATTTCCACTATGCGAGGCCTACGGGACAAGGCATCAGCACTCTGGTGCTGTTTCCCAGGGCTACACACTATTTGGTAGTCAAACTCAGCCATCTGTTCTAGCCATCTAGCCAGCTGTCCTTCAGGTTGTTGGAAATTGTGTAGCTACTGGAGAGAACAGTGGTCTGTTTTTAATGTGAAGCATCTCCCAAGGAGAAAGTATCAAAAATGCTTGGTAAAAGTCACCACAGCAAGCAATTCCTTTCTTGTAGTTGCACATTGGCGCTCAGCTTTATTTAAGGCTCAGGTTTCATAGGCTAGTACCTTCTCCTGGCCTCTTTCAACTTGTGACAAAACAGCTCCGATGCCAACATCAGTTGCATCAGTGTCCAACAAGAAGGGTAACTTAGGGTTTGGATATGCTAAGATAGGGAATGACATTAACTACCGCTTTAACGCTATAAAGGCATCTTGACATACCCTGGTCCAAATGAACTTTGCTGTACTGGAGAGCTTACGTAAGGGGCTTGCAATGGTAGCAAAATCTGCCACAAATCTTCTATAATAGGAAGCTAGACCCAAGAAGCTGCACAGTTCTCTTACATTTCAAGGTACTGGCTAGACCTTAACAGCCTCCACCTTCTCTGGATCTGGGCTTATCCCCTCCATGCAGATCACATGTCCCAAAAACTTCACTTCCCTGCAGAAAAGCTGACATTTGGCAGGTACAATTGGCTTCCTTCAGCCTCTTAAATACTACTTTCATTTTCTGCAAGTGCTCCTGAAAGGTTTGGCTTATCACAATGATATCATCCAGGTACACCAGGCAGGATGTCCCTTGAAAATCTGCTTACATAATATCCATCAGTCTCTGAAATGTACTAGGAGCATTACATACACCAAGGCATAACATTCAACTCAAAAAGTCCCTTCTTAGTGGAGAAAGCTGTCTTAGCTCTGTCTTCTGGGTGCACTTCCACCTGCCAGTACCCACTAGCCAGATCAAAGGTGGAGAACCATTGAGCTTTGGCCAGGAGGTCCAGCATGTCTTCACTTCAAGATAAGGGGTAGGCATCCTTAATATTAACATCATTCAGTCTACAATAATCCACACAGACTTGCACGCCTCCCCCTTTCTTCTGTACCAGAACCAAAGGCGCAGTCTATGGGCTGACAGAGGGGCTGATGATGCTTCTTTCCTCCATCTCTTGCAGCTAGGATCAAACACCTGCTGGAAATGAATGGTGTAACAGGGAGCTAGAGGCCCCTGTTACTGGAAAGGGAGGCATGCAGCCAAGCCTGCTGCATAACCAGACAAGTGGCTGAGGCAAGGGGTGAGGACCCCAGACTTAAGTAGCACCAGATGAGGAGTAGGCAGCTCACTAGCCCTAGGGGCACACACTTGTGGGAGCCTGCAATTCACCTGATGTTGATAAGGCAACACCCTGGAGATGGATAAGGGTGGCAGACCAGGAGACAGGGGCCTGGCTGGGGGAGCTGAGGTCTCCAAAGGGAGAATGTGCTGGGGTACATGGACCAGAACTGGAATTTGCTGGGCAGTGCAATGAGGACTCCGGAGTAGGAAGGCTCTGGTGTTTACCCAAGGAAGGGAATGACTTTCATGACAGTGATAGCTTGTCTTTCCTTTATGTTTATTCATCCAGGCCAGGGAAGTTTGAGTTACAGTGATAACTCTCCTTCTCTTTATGTTAGTTTACTCAGGGGGATATGGGTATTTTGGTAAAGTGACAGTGCACCTTTTTGTTCAGGGTGCTTGTCCACTTATAGTGGGGAGATTTTGGTTAGGTAGATGACTTATCTTTATGTTATAACTAAACTGGTGGACTGAATGTGACTATCAGGAGAAGAAGAAGATCACAGTATGCCAGAGAGGCAC